GCCGCCCCCGACGGAGTCAGGTGGGGGGGAGAAAACTGTAATTGGGGGGAGATTTTAACTGGGGAGAGAAAAGCTCAATTGGAGGGAGGAAATTTTATTGGGGGAGAAAATTGTAATTGGGGGAGAATTCAATTGGGGGTAGAAAAGTTCGATTGGAGGGAGGAAATTTGAATTGGAGAAAATTTGAATGGGGGAATTTTTAATTGGGGGAAGAAAGGTTCGATTGGAGGGAGAAAATTTTATTGGGGAAATCTTTATTTCGAGGGAGAAAATTTTAATTGGAGGGAGAAAATTTTATTGGGGGAATTTCTAATTGGGGGGAGAAAATTGTAAATTGGGGGGAGATTTCAGTTGGGGGTAGAAAAGTTTGATTGGAGGGAGAAAATTTGAATTGGAGGGAGAAAATTTTATTGGAGGAATTTCTAATTGGAGGGAGAAAATTTTATTGGCGGAATTGCTAATCGGGGGTAGAAAAATTTGAATTGGAGGGAGAAAATTTGAATTGGAGGGAGAAAATTTGAATTGGAGGGAGAAGATTTGAATTGCAAGGAGAAGATTTGAATTGCAAGGAGAAGATTTTAGTTGGGGAAATGAAGTTTTAAGGGGGGGGGATTTTTAATGGGGGGAGAAAAAATTTACGCCCCAAATTAAAGTTAATTGCAAGGAGAAGATTTTAATTGGGGGAGAAAGGTTTGATTGTGGGCAGAAAACTTTAATTGGGGGAGAGAACTTGAATTTGGGGGTGAAAAGTTTGCTTGCAGGGAGAAAAATTGTAATTATGGGGAAAAATCTTAATTGTGGGGAAGAGAATTTTATTTGGGGGAGAAAACTTTAATTGTGAGGAAATTTCTAACCGGCAGCTGGAGGATTTAGAGACCCCTCATGGGGTAAAATTAATGTTATTTGGGGTAGAAATGACTTTTTTTTTGGCAAGAATTTCCTAGGTGGGCTCCGGGGAGGCTGAGGACCGACAGCCTTCGTGACACCTCTGACTCTTTGCCTGTGGAGGGGCGGAAACCCCGAAAATGAAGGAAACGAGGGAATATTCCGGATTTTGGGGCGGGGAGAGCAGCAAGCGGGCAGGTAACTGGAGGGCGACGAAGGGGATAATCGCCGTTTCGCTCGGTTTTGGGGTTGTTTTTTTTTTTTTTTAATACTTCTCTAATTTCAGAGCAAAATGCAGCTGAGGGGAGGGGGAGGGGGGACACGTAGGGAAGAAAACCAAAAAAAAGCGCTTTTTCTCGCACTTCTCTGCGGGGAAAATTTTTGCCGCTCTGCAGGTGGGATTTTTGGTCTCCTTTCAGACGCTTTGGGTTATTTGCATGTATAATTAATCCTGCGGCGTTCGAGTCACGGGTTCTTTTTGGTCTTTTTTCTTCCCCCCCCCCCCAAAAAAAAAAAAAAGAAAAAAAAAAAAAGGGACGATTTAAGCGTAATTTGGACACATCAGCGAAATATTAATCTCTCTCTTCCCTCCGCCACTGCCCGGGTTTAGTTCTCCCACCGCCGTCGTCATCCTCGGGGTGCGCAATGAGGTAAAAAAAGGGGCTTTTTGGGGGTCTTTTTATTTTTTAATTTTTGTGGGGTTTTTAAAATTAGCTTTAAAAATCTTCAATTTTCTAAGTTTTGATTATTTTTGATTTTTTTTTTTTTTTTTTTAGATTTTTGCTTTAGATTTTTATTTTCAGAGTTTTGGTTTTTACTATGATTTGTCAATTTTTGTAGCTTTGATTTGTAGATTTTTGTAATTTTGGTTTGTTGATCTTTTGTAATTTTGGTTTGTCAATTTTTTTTTCTAATTTGATTTTTCTGATTTTGATTTTATTTTGGTAATTTTGATTTGTCTTTTTTTTTGTTTTATTTGTATTTTATTTGTGGAAGGTGGTGTTTTTTTATTTGTGGAGGGCGTTTTTTTTATTTGCAGAGGGTGTTTTAATGTGTCTTTTTAAAATTATTTGGTGTATTTGCCTTCTGACTGACTTTCTGATATCATTTTTGCGTGCGGGAAGGGGGGGAGAGGAGGGTTTGTCCCATGAGATTTTTGTTCCTGCGGTGGATGGGGACAAAAAAAAGGTTAAAAGAAAAACGAGCGACGTCCCACTGGGTGAAAACACTGAGATTTTTAGGTTAAAACCTTCCGGAAATGGCATTTCCTCCGCTTGCGATGGGGAGGGAAGAGC